TTTAAAAATAGAACAAGTCTTTCGAAAGTTAAAATTATATTATAGCCACTTATCTCTTTCTTCTGTAGTAAATTTTGCTTTACCATTTAGAAGGATGTAACAGAACGATTAAATATATAATTTTTTATTTTTGCGGAGATTAGTACATATATATATAATATTTCAAATATTAGGGCAATGTTAATTCTAATATTAATACAATTGGAACGCGTCTTTCAATTTTATATTTTTATAGCGCGCATTATTCAGATACAAATTCTTTTGACAGGAGGGAATTTTGACAGTTTCGGAGCGCGAGAGAGAGAAGTATAATAGTTGCAATTGACAAAGCTGTGGGGAAACAAAAAAAATCATAGGCGAACACGTGAACGGGGTCGATGCAAGAGCGCGGGTGGCTGCGCATCGCGAGAATTTCCTGTATAGCATCGGAGCGCTATAGTTTACAACAATGGGAGTCATATTGCTCTGCCCCGCATTTCCTCCCTCTTCGCGCTCGATTCTTCCCCACCGCACTCAAATTCATTCAACGTTTCCAATTAAGGGGTTAGTCCACTTTGCGTCGGCAGTGAGGTATGACTTTGCGCCGCAAATGCGCCATTCTCGTATGTTCTAGAACTTTATTCGACCGAAACGCTCATCATTAAAGCTGCGCGATTACACGCGTCTCGACGCGACCAAAACTTCTCGCACCGCATAAATTCGTAAAACAGTAAACATAATTTGCAAATTCACAAATATCTTTAAGAATTTTAAGATTCGATAAAATAATTTCGCGAATTGTACTAATCTTACATAATAACACGTTCCAACATTCAAGAATAGCAACAATGTATACAGACCTTCCATACAATTTCATGACTTTAGAATTTTAAATCTTGAAAGCCTAAAAAATTGTAGGAATTTAACATCTAAGTCTCATGGATCTTTGGTCTTTAAGGACTTAAAAATTTTAAAAGTTTCATTTCTTTGAGTGCGTATTTTTTTAATTCTTTTATTTTATAATATTCATAATTTTTGTGTGCGAGACACTTTTTACTTTTAAAATCCTGAATTCATAGAAACATTAATTACATGACACTGTTATGAGATCGTAGAATACATGAATCAATCTTTGTATTAAGATATTTGAGATAACACACCTCATAATTATATATATAATCAATATATATATCGAGATATAATCATTACATATCGTGTACATTTTATTCGTTTTTGTTTTACATAACGATTCACTGAAGTGAATGCTCATTTATGTGGATTAGAGACGGGGTTGCCTCCAATCAACCGGCGATTAACTGCCACGTTCATCATTCCATGTATCGTTAACTTTAATCAGTATTTATCTCTTTCAAGCTGATATTAATTAATATGTATACGCGGTTGTCGTGCGTCAAAATTGTACGCTATGGATCAGCTTTCAAAGCGATGTTTTATCTGCAGTGGTTCAAAATATAGTGACGAATGTAATCGAATATCATGTATCTAAAACGTGTTCATTTAAATATAATATTTATTATATTCATTTCGATACATGTCAGATAAATATGAAAAGTAACAGTTTTTATGACTTATTTTATGGCTATTAAAATTTAATTTTTTACGATTGCTTTAATGCATCGTAAATAGATATATGCGCAACATTTTATGTTTACAAATATGTTTATGAAATATATTTCTACCATAATTATAGATATTTATTTTATTTATTGCTATATTTATATATATTTATATATGTAGAAAAATATTACCAAGATAATTATATAGTTGCTTTCCATTTACATTAAAATATCCATGTTAAAAAAAGACAAAAATGAGATTTATCTGAGTTTTGATGTAAATGGAAAGCAATTAATATTTAATATAACAACACGTGTAATACAGATGCTCAGTATAAGACGTTTATTGTTAGAACAACAGCGAATGATTGACTAACTGACTGACTGACTGACTGACGCTCGGCCTTAGATCGAAATCAAAGAAAGACCGACCTGACAAAGAACGAGACTTATCGATAGCGGTTCCTAAGATCCCGGCTCACGTGTGATCAAGCCGCGGTACGTCGCGAGCGCACGTGCGTCTATGACAGTGAGATTATTTCTCGGTATCGATTCATCAAGGGATCTAACTGTCGTATGATCTCATCAATACGCCGCAATAACAAAATTTATCTTTTAATAACAATCGGAACATAAAAAGATACAAACATAAGATGTACAAACTGCCGCATTATACGCACTGTAATCCTACATATATAAATATATGATATTATAAAAATTAAAAAAAATATTTATTGAAAAATACTTGCATTATATGAAAAAATATAACATGGAATGTCATTCTTGATGTTTTTGAAATTTAATTATTAATTAATTATTAAATAAATCTTTATTTAAGCAGTATATATATATATATATATATATATTTTAAACAGTACACTAAATCTATGAAAGAATTTAGTATACCTAGATGTATAATATAAATATCTGTAATTATTTTTTTATCACAAAAAGAAAAAAACTTGAGCAAATTTTTCGATTTGCGATCAAGATGGCATAAAAATCATGAAATTTATTCGTTAAACATGTACAATGATCGCGAAAAATATCGAGGTCAAAGGCCTCTTCCGCAATGGGAGCGACACGGTGCGCATAAGCTTATCGAGATCATCCGAAACGAGCCATTGTCAGCACGTGGTTAACCATGACTATCTAAATTAGAATCGGTGTTGACGACGCGTCGGCCTCCCTCGTACCCGGCGCGTCGGCGTTTGCGGCCAACTTTTACGTCGTCTTTTACGTCCGTGCTTTTTACACCGAGTGAAAAAACTTTTGCGAGGCGGCTCACATGCGAGAAAAGCAAAGGCGAATTCGCGCGGCTTATTCTCGATGGTTATCCCGAGCGAAACGTATAAAGTGAGCGTATCGAATGAATAACTTCTGTGTTAACGCATTCTATATAATAATACCCATAATCACACACATTAATAACTTTTCAATATAGATTTGTATTATAAATGAGAATTTATTTGGTAGTACATTAATTCAAATAAATTCTAATTTATATTACAAATCTCCTTCATTATTTATCTTCCGGTTATTATTCTATAAATCATCTACACAATCTATACATAATCCATTTTTTGGGGTAATTTGTCATTTGCATGATACTTTAATTCAAAATAAGAACTCTGTCTTGGAATCATCTTCGAGGAACTTGCGAGAGCTTTCTGTGACATGATAAAAGGCGGTTGGATGTAGATAGAAGCGAGTAAGGTGATAGGTTTTTGCGCTGACTCGTCGCTGACACGAAATGGTTTGGGTTACGTCGCGGTGAGATGATCGTCGAAAGGGAACAGCATGCTTCGACGCTCGGAAAATGTCATAGAGTGAACGTGATGCATCTCTGAATATAAGTCATCTTTAGCTTACAGAGCTAAATAAATGTCAAATGTGTTGGGGGCTGATATACATAATATAATGTATATCAATTTTAATATTCTCAAAAATCTTTTTGAACGCTCATTATAAAATATATAAATCTAAAATAAATATGATACAGTCATCCAACGGCAAAATTTTACATTATCATTAATCTTGCTTTTACTCAGTGCATATGTTAAATATTCCATTTTATTGCGTTAAAAGAAACAATTTTACAAGAAAAAAGTATATGTTTTACAGAAGAATTAATTGAGAAATTAGATACTTACAGCACAAATAAAATTCTTGATTACTATATTTTTATTGCTTTAATTGTTCAGATAATTGTTTTTTTTCCGAATTTCATTAAAAAGAAATTGATTTGTGTTTATTTTTCTTTTAACGAGTAGTTATTTAAATGGTTTTTTAATTATATAAACTAAGCTATGGAGTAATTATTTTAATGATTTATATCTTATCTTATGTATACCAGATGTATACAAATATAAAAAAAGTTAAACAATATGCACAATAGAAAAAGATAGGAAAGTTACAGATAGTGAAATTGCAGAACACCGTGAGGAGGAAAGTTCTTTTCTGCTAGGCACGGTATCATTTTACCCAGTTTAACATTTCAACATGTGAATGCACCATCCCGTGCAGGTAACTGCGAACAGTAATATCTTATGTCCCCGATACATTCAGGAATTTATAACGATCAATAATGTTTAGTAGTAAGTCACCGGTAGTATATCGTCTTGAAAGTGGCGCGTAGCGTGTTCCGGAAGTTAGTTCAACTCTTTAACCGGTGTGTTGCTTTTCTCAACGCAAGTATTATGTTATTATTGAAGAACGAAGAGATATTCATATATATGTATCTTATTTACTTAATACTACTGTATTTATTTAAAATATATAAATGTTTTATTTGTTAATTGTGATAATAATTTTTAATTTTCTCTTATAAATATAATAGAAATAAATATAATAGAAATAAATGTAATTAATATTTCTTAATTTGACATTTACATGAATTCGGATCATTGTAAAATTAAACGAGCAATTATATAATTAACTAAATTACAATTTGTTCATCTTACCTTATGTATTACTTCGCCATTTTTCTCATGTTTCTCCCCTTTTTTGTTCATCATTTATCGCTCCTTTATGATATTCATGAACACCGTTAATTACGATCATGCAGCATATTATATAATATTTTCGATGTTAATTTCACACTAAGTGCGTTTTATTTTATTTTATAAATTTTTTGCGAAGCACGCGAAAATAATGGTTAAATGAAATTATGTTATATAATCAGTAACGAAAACTTGTGCAGCCGAATTTATATAATGCTATTTTTGTTAAAGAATATGCATGCATTTTACAGCAATTTTAATGATCGGATAATACGATACACAGACGCTTTGCGTGCTCACTCGCTCACTGCACGAAGGCCACTGTACATAAACACACGGTATGCTGTACGCAGAAGTCACCGAATTTTCGTGACGTACAGTACACATGTAGCGCGCTATTATTTATATGATTTGCGTTTAATGTATCATTTGCGTAGTAAGACTCGAGTGAGTAGGAAGCATCATGGAACACTTCGTGTCGTCTTATTATCTGATAGTTAAAAACTGTTATAAAAGTGTGTGTGTATACTATTTATTAATAATATTCGCAAGAGATAGCATTGTGTAAATTCGATCGTGTGTTTTTTATGATTTATCGCGCGATCGTCGCTAATCTAATCTAACTTAACCTAGCCTAACCAATATTTTCTCGTTCTTCTGTCGTGAAATAAAATGTGCATATAAAGTTAACGTCGAAAGTATATGTAAAGTAATCGTAATTAACTGTGTTTCCTCGTGAGTGTTATGTAAGTGCTAAAAAGTAACAAATGAGGAAGAGACGACTCGAAGAAATAACGGGTAATACTGCGGTGAGCAGTTTAATACTTTTGTTGTATTTATCGTATTATATTTTTGTAACTTAGCGTTGCGTAAACAAATATCTGATTAATAAAAAATTTTGCGATAAGAGGACATAACTAATGATGTTAAATTTTTTAATTTTTAAAAAGATAATAATTATCACAAAAAAATAAACAAATCATCTTAGTTAATTTTTTTTATATTAAAATATTTAATATACTTGAACTGTTGTATCTGTCATTCTCAAGTCTTACGATATAAATCAAAGACTCATTGATTAGCAAACTTGCTGAATACGCTAAAAAGAGAAATTAATAAAGAGATTTTAAGGTATTTTTCATTTTTATCTTATACAGGCATAGATAGGAATGTACTTCTCTCATCAGGGAATTATGTTGTTTCCCTTACTGTATTTATCCGTTTATAGGCTAGGTCAGGTCTCTAGATAGGGACGGTATAAGTGCGACATATAAACGCGCACGCATGCAAGCGCGTGTATACGAATGAATAGATCATCCCGTTTGCCGTATCGAACCAGTTAGAGTTAGACGAACAACGGTTACTTCTTAATGGACTCACTATGCTCGTCCATTACCCTAGGCTGACACGTTTGTATCCCCCTCGACGTGCACATGCACGCAAGTTATACAGGGCATACGTGATACCATTGTCACGTGGTTGTAGCTCGCGTTGACAAACGCGACCCTTTATTCCGACGTGCGAATCTAACGCGAGAAAATCGGTAGAAACGGGGCGCTTAGCTCTTTAGGCCCGGATCTATATATTCGAGTTTCATGTTCACCATGTAATGCTACGATTTTGCGACTTGTATTTGTCTAATACACACATGAAAATCATATACATATATAAGTGGTTTTGGATTTTTCTAGCTATATTTAATTTTTAGTACTATACGTAATGTTAATAGTTTTCTGTAAATTAATGAAAAATCTGTCAAAAATCTTGCTTAGATTTTAGAATCTTCTACGCGAATTTATATATTAAAAATAGTTTTTATTATTTGTATTCTCTTCAAATCACTTGACTGGTATTTAAAGTCTTACTGTTATAATTAGAATTTAATTAAAATTATTGAATTATTATAAACGTCTAATTTTGTTAGATTTTAGAATCTCCTGTACGAATTTATATCGACAAGCAGATAGATCCTTATTTGCATGCTCTTTAAAGTTTAACATTGCTTGGATTTTAGAGTTGTATTATTATATAGTTATATTTATATAGTTATATAGTTATAATTTAATTTGAGACATTAAAATTATTAATAATGAAATGTTGGAGTAAAACTATATAGTTGCGTATATCTCAAGTTTATAAATTAATTTATCGCACTATAAAATATATTAAATCACAGTTCCCTTACTATTTCATTACGACTCGCTGTACTCTTGGCCAAGTTTTTCTGAAAAAATGCCACCGCGCGGCGTTTACATAATCCGGCACGAAGCTCAACGTGCGTGCGGAATCCGTCACGCGGTTCTCGCAAATTTGCGGCTAACCACGTGGGCGGCTGATATTTTCGGGCGCTTTCATGAACCACGGAGCAGAAATTTATGCGGACCCCTGGGAATGCGTTCGCGGAAGCGTGAGAGAAAGCGGAAGGAATACGACAACTTTAATCCTTGGTTGTTAGCGCGGCTTGCACGACACAGCCGCTCACGTAGAGCATTTTACATGCCACATTAGAAAATAAAGTGTTATTCTTAAGGAATATTTTTTTGCAGTTAGTTTTTATATCTCGTAAAGTTAGGTTGTTTTGTAAGTGAGACGTCTGGGAATATCTTTTTGCAAAGATTATTGTTTCAAAAAGCAAATGAATTTACTCTGTGTTTGAATTTGGTTTATTATGCCAAAATTTTGATTATACACACATTGAAAATTTGCCAAGATTTATATAATGCAGATACTCTAAATTTATATGTTTATTTCTTTATACATACACACACATACAATTTTTTTAATACTTTTTACATTGTGCTTTTTAAGCAATATAAATAGAATTTTTTTTTATATATTTTAATTAATTGCAAATAGACTTTGCTTTGTAAGTAATAATCAATTAACTCTTATTGAATTAATTATATTAAATAGAAATTTTGTCCCTAAGAAAAAAATTGGCGGAAGAATTGATAGCAATTGAAAAAAATCAGATTAGTTTTAGATTATTTTTATGTATATGTAAAAATATTTTTGGAAAAATAATGTGAATACGTGTTCTGCACAAGAAGTGTTAGTTTGCAAAGAGTTAATCGAATGAAGATGCTTGCGCTATGTGTAACACTTTCGTGTCAGCCTCTCTTCGTCTCTCTCTCTTTTTCGTCGCGTCATTCCCGATCCCTTCCTGCGCTGCTCGTCCGTCGAACTAAGTAGATTACTCAACAAGTGGCTGCCAAACCTTGCACGGTCACCGACCGTCACAGTTTTAATGCCGAACATTTTCCGTCACTCTGCCGTGTAAATCGAACAGTCGTCGAACTCTGAACGTCTTTATACTTAATTAATTTACTCTACTAGTGATATTAAATTATCACTAAAATGATGTAATTAATAATTTTTATAAGACTCAATTATATTAGGATGAATACATTCTGAAGCTCAATAATTAAAAACAATTTAAAACATAATTTTTTTATTTTTTAATTTTATTTACATTAATTTTATTTATATTAATTAATAAATATTGTTCTAGTATTATTAAAGATTGTGAGATACCTAATTATCGCTTAAACATTGCTTAATTGATGCGTTTTGATTCTGTGGCCGCACTATTTGATGATTAATTTTATTTATTGACAATAAAGCTTCGCCGGGTTTTACAAGCTTATCATTTCTGTAATTCGGTCAGCGGGAAAAAGCTAAACGCGCGGGAAACAAGAAACATGCTTGTATATATAGATTCGATCAAGTAGGTTAGTAGAAAATCATTCTATACATCGTAGTGGTCTAACAGTCGCGAACGCGTGGCGGAAGTTTCGTCGTGAATATTACATATCACCGGCCGCAAACGGTAACGATTTCTTTCAGTCGAGGGATTGCCACAAACTAGGTAGACTGTATTATCGGTGTTATAGACGGAGGGACAGACGTGAAATGTCATCAGGGAACGATACTGTGATGTAAGAATATTAAATGCTGCAGTTGGACGAAGTATATACATCTAAACTATATCCGAATTATACAGGATTAATTTAGGGAGACAAAATCTGAAAATTTGTCAGAAAATCGACATTGTATGTCTGTATATGTACGTATGTGTGTATGTTGTGTGTAAAAATAATTTTTTTTTATTAAATTGAATCTACTCTCTAATTATGTTGAATAATATATAATTAAGCAATTTCATATTTTTTTCAATTAATTATTTTACAATCTTTTTGTTTGTTAAAAGTAATAATATATGTTATGCAAACAAAAACATTATCGTTTATGCAATTGTGAACATTGCGTGAGATTGGAGCTAGAGAGTTAGGTAAATGAATTCCCACAGGAGAAGTCGGGAAAGAGAAGAGTAAATTCGCGTAGTTCAGTCCACGCTTTCATACACGCTACATTTTTCAGACATTGAATTTCCAGCTTGTATTTCAGACGAATTTCCAATTTATCATCCCGCCGTTATGCACATTACTGCACTTGTTATTCTTATATCACGGTATACTCCTGCTACTTTCTGAAACTCCAGTCTTTCTTTCTTCACCTTTCCTCAGTTTCTCAGTTCCTTTCAACCGCGACGGACTCACCAGACTCCTTATTGCTTCTTTTTCTTCTGCTTGCTCTTTTCTTCTCTTTCCTCCCACGATGTTTTGTCTTATTTCCCTTTGTCTTTACCTCTCGTCTCATCTCCCTTTATCTCTTATTCTCTTCTATCTACTAAACACCCTACGAACCTTCGAGGCCGTAGCCGAAGGTACTAAGTTGAAGGTACTGATGGCCTTGCGCGCCTTTTTGCCATGAGACTTCTTCCGGTACAGTCGCCACCAACATCTCCGCATTATATTCTTTTGAGAGTATCAGAATCAAGCTGTAAATTGTTATTACGACAAAATAATAGTTTATTGACAAATAAAAATCAGGTATTAACTAATATTTCGAAAATTTTTTTCTTATGAATATGAAAATAGATATTTAAGTCAATATATTAAAAAAAAATAGTTATATGTTGCTTTTTTTCAGTAATTACATATTTTAAAAAATTAATAAATAGTATTACCGCAAACATAAAATTTTCAATTTTTTGTTATTATTAAAAATTTTTATATTTACTATTTTTTATATTTTTACATAATATTTTATTTTCATTTAATTTTTATTTTATTTTATTTCCATGGTAATTTTTAATATCGATATTTAAAGAAATCATTTTTTTGTAATTATTAGATATGATATTGTAATATAATATACAATTTTCGCTTCTAAAATTTTGAGGTTTAATTATGCAGTATGTTTTTTTTACTGAAAATGTAATAAAAAAGATTAAACTAAAATTTTATTTTAGTTAGGTATATATTTAATCTTTCAGAAATAATATAAAGTTATTTCGAGTAAAATTATTGGCTCGATTTATATTGATGTAGAATCAATATCTATATGATACACTCTGCGAATGCATACTCTTACTTAGTCGCCGCTAAAAATAAAATATATGCAAACTTATTTTGAGACATGATGGTCCGTGAAATATGCGTCCGAATGCAAGTACGTACGCGCGCGTAATTATGCCCACATAAATCTATTAAAAAACATTGAATTGTCAAAAGCGAATCGTAGAATGTGCATGAAAAATATCAACGATATAGATTTTGATTGAAAACTCCAACGTGCGTACAAAATATTTTAAGCCAAATACTGTTATAGATAAAAGTTATAATAGTTCAGAAAGAGAGAATTGTCATCGATTCAGTTGGCTTACATTACGTGATACGGGCTACGATATTAAAACTTTACTATTAAATGGTGTTCTAGAATTATTACAAATTGATGAATGAAAATT